GAGATCTTGCTGTGGACAATACAGACAAGGTCCTTGCCCCCATGGAGTTACAGGCTAGAGGGGGAAACAGGAAAAGAGTAAGTTAGTAAGAAATAATAACCATGGCTGGGCACAGTGGCTCACTTCTATAATCCCAGCACTTTGGGAGGCTGAGGTGGGTGGATCACCTGAGGTCAGGAGTTTGAGATCGGCCTGGCTAATACGATGAAACCCCGACTCTAATAAAAATATAAAAATTAGCTGGGCATGATAGTGGGCACTTGTAATCCCAGCTACTTGGTAGGCTGAGGCAGGAGAATCGCTTGAACCCAGGAGGCAAAGGTTGCACAGTGAGCCGAGATCGCACCACAGAACTTGAGCCTGGGCAAGAGAATGAGACTGCATCTCAAAAATAAGTAAATATATAAATAAAAAATTGCATACTGAGAAATGCTCAAAAGGGTGTGCGTGCATGTGCACACACATGCATGCCTACATTTTCCAAGCAAAGAAACTGCACCTGCAGAATCTCAGGGACAGGAAGGAGGTTGGCATATTCCCTGGACTGAGAAGAGACCAGTGGGGCTGGAACACCGTGTTCAAGGGTGAGTGACAAGAGGTGGGGCTTTACAGCAGGCAAAGCAAGATCATGCCAGGCCCTGCAGGCCATGGTAACAAGAATGCCATGACGAGCTCAGGCAGGGGTATGCCAACATGTGATCACACTTGAAAGAGATTACTCTGCTATGTGAAGAACTGACAGTGGGCAACAAATACCAAGGCATTCTTATATCCTAGTTAGCCTATATGGAAACCATAAAGGAAAAGATTTGACAACCTAAATTTAAATATATACATTTAAAAGCAGTATAAAAATTGGAAGAAATTATCAAAACAATGAACATACTTTTATAATAAAAGACATTTTTAAAAATTTAAATCTTTAAAATCTTATTGTTGCAAGTCAGTAACAAAAATAGCAAATACCCCTCTGGAGAAATGGACAAAGGATATGAACAGAAAAATCACAAAGGAATATAAATGGCATATGAAGAGATGTTCCTCTATCTATAAAACTGTTAAGGTTTTTTTGTTTGTTTGTTTTAAACTGCACTATCCAATGTTAAGAAGGGTATGGGAGAAGAGATCTCTCGCATACTGGTGATGGAATTGTACATTGGTTCAGTCTTCCAGGCAGTATGTATTATACACTAAACCTCTTTCCTAATCTTATAAGGAAATAATTAAGAGCAGCCTCACAAAATATAGTTAGAAGGATGTACATTAATGTACATGTCCAAAGTGAAATTTGATAAAATATATTCCTGAAGCAGAATATTCATCAACCTTTAATAATTACACAGCAGTGACTACTGATAAGGAGAGAGGTTTATAATTTTCAACTGAGAAAAGCAGGGTACGTTTCTGTATTTAAGAATCTTATTTAGGCATATACACCTAAAAAAAAAATCTCTGGAAGAATACAAACAGTGGTTATTTAATGGTGGTAAAGTTACACATTTTTAACAGGTTTTTATTTATCGATACATCTTTCATTTTTCTAGTCACTATATACTGCTTTTAACAATGCATGAAGTCTCTAAACAAAAAAAAATAAAAAAATAAAATATATATATATATCTAAAGCACCATAAAATAAAACTTGAGACATACTAAACTGAATGGTAAAGGAGGAGATGGAGAGGAGGCAGTGCAGACTGGAGTTGGATGAGAAAATGGTAATGTTAGAAAGGGACTTTGGGGGGCATCTGCCTAGTCCAACTCCTCATTTTGCAGATTAGGAAAGCATCTACATCTACCATCTCCTCACTTCACCTCCCTGACTGTAATAACACAGGCTATTAGAACACAAAACAAAACTATTGCTACTAGGTCTTCACTAATTAAAAAACCATGTACCCCGTGAGAAGCAACCATAAATATCATCACTGTGGCACTTAACTCCTGAGTAAAAGGTACCCAGACAAGAGCACAGCCTGACAGCTGCTTTGGTATTTGGAAACAAGAGGGTTATTGCGGAGTGCCGTTTTTTTCCTCACTCCTCAAGCAATTAAGAAATATTTCCATCCTAATATTGCTCCTGTGCCTGTCTAGCACTGAGCTCACAAAGAAACATCCTCAGATGGTTACATACATCTGGCAAGAATAACCTCAGCATGCCTAAGGCGTTCACAGAATCTGTCGACTTGGAGCCCAGACGTTTTTATCTGGGTCCTGCCTCCTGTGCACAGCAGAGGTCTTTGGCAGGCATTTCTAATTCCTTGGCCCATTTCCCACAACAGATACTCTAAATGGTTTCCCTTTCTCAAATCTAAAACCCCAAATCTACCACTTTTACTCTCCAGAAATAAATACTTTCTTCTTTCTTTATTCAGGCCATAACCCGTCAGCCCTCTTAATGTTCCTTTCTATTTCAAATTACCTGTGTCTACCTACTCCATCTCCTCCCTCCTTCCTGGCTCAGGGGTGGCATCCCTTCTGTCTCAAAGATGAAGCCCTCCACCCTGATCTATTCAGCCAGTCCTGTAGTCACAGAAGTCCTGGCCCCCTAAGTTTTCCCCTTTCTTTATGACTCCTTCCCCGCCCCCACCTCTCTCCCCACTGGGTACCTCCCTCTCTTTTAGTATATCTAAGTTTCCTCACCCCAACTCTGCTGCCTCCTCCCAGTGGCATCCTCTTTTGCTCCTTCTTTTCCAGCAAATCTCTAGACCTGGGCATCTACACCTGCACCTCCTTAGCTTATCATGATGTTAAGAAGCATCAAGAGTAAGTATTTACAGTCAGAAGGCCCAGAGTACACATTCAGCTCTGCCACTGACCATTTCCACAACCTTCAGTGAGCAAGCCACTTAATCCTCCAAGTCAATTTCCTCCTCTGTAAGATGAGATTAATAACACCTGCTCCATCTCCTTCACAGCTGTGTTGTGAGGATCAAATGAGATAATGTGTGTGGAAGGGCACTGGGAGCTTAATATAAAGCACTTTAACATTCTAGTTATTCCTGTTATTACTCTATCCCTGATCTCTCAGCATCAACTGAGTCAGGCAAGGTAATTTGTGATCTTCAGGTTGGTCACAGTGTTAACACTAACAATGCTTCAATGTCAGCTTTTTAGCTTAATTCATTCAAAAACAAGTACAACCTTGCGTTTTTTTAATCATATGGGCAGGGACTTCTGGAAAACAACAGTAGTAAGCCAACAATTATTGAACACATACCAAAAGTCAGGCGCTGTTCTAAAGTACTTTACCAGAGAGTTTTATTACTATTTTCATTTTACTTATGGGGAAATTGAGGCAGAGCACAGTCATGATTTGAACCCAGGCATCTAACTCTAGAGTCTATACCCTATACAATTCTGTTAGTGGCAAAGTGGGTGCCAGATAGAAATAAACCAGTCAGGAGATCATGACTACTACAGCATTAGAGGCAAGAGATAATATGGGTTAACAGAATATCTAGAATGTTTTTTAAAAACACATACCTTTCTTTTTTCAAATAGCTAACTACCAATGCTGCTGAGAGCTGAAAGTTACCAGGTACTTCAATATACTGCTACTGAGAGTATAAACTGCTGTGACCTTTCGAGAAAACACAGTACATCAACAGAGTAAATTAACAGAATACATCAAGACCTGGGTGCTACATTCTATCAGTGTTCAGCAATGCCACTTGTAGCAATTTATCCTAGGGAAATAATCACAGATGTGCATGAAAGATGTTCACTGCAATGTTATTTCTAAAAGTAAATAACAAGAAACAAGATAAATGTCTAATAAAAGGAGAAGGGATAGAGAAACCATTACATTTCCATATATCTGAACACTATGCTGTCATTTAAAATGATGCTGCAGAAAAGAGGAATAAGCATTTTATTAAGGAAAAGAAGTATGTAAAAAAGCCTATTGATATGGGCTTTGGTATCTGACTGGTTAAGTTCTGAACTGGTGGGTTTACCAGCTATGTGAACATGGGCAAGTCATTTCCTTCCTTCCGGCCTTCCTTCCTTCCTTTCCTTCCTTCCCCCTCCACTTTTTTTTTTTTTTTTTTTTTTTTTTTAAAACCAAGTCTAGCTCTGTGACCCTGGCTAGAGTGCAGTGGTGTGATCTCAGCACAATGCAACCTCTGTCTCCCAGGTTCAAGTGATCCTCCTGCCTCAGCCTCTCTAGTAGCTGGGATTACAGGCGTGTGCCACCATGCCCAGCTAATTTTTGTATTTTTATTAGAGACAGGGTTTTGCCGTGTTGGCCAGGCTGGTCTCGAACTCCTGATCTCAAGTGATCTGCCTACCTTGACCTCCCAAAGTGCTGGCATTACAGGAGTGTGCCACTGTGCCTGGCTAATTTCTCTGAGCCTCAGTTGTCCTGTGTATAAATGGGGATAATAAAAGTACTAACCCCAAGGGTTATGAGAATAAATTAATATATATAAAATGCTTGGTATTTAGCTTGGCACAGCACAAACATGCAATAAATGTTACTCAAGTTGCAAACATAGAGAAAGCTAACACAACATAAACACATATTCTAAAAACTTGGAAGATAATGTAGTACAATTTTAACACTGATTATCTCTAGAAACAGAGTAACAGATTTTGATTTAAACTCTATTTTCTAGATTTTATTTATTGAATAAAGTCAGCAACATATTAATATTTGAGTATCTCCATTTTTTTCAAGTAGTCTTAATACTCCTTTTGATCTATTAAGTTTCCCTATTATCCAGTCTATGCATATTGTGTTTATGAAAATGGGGTATTTATTGATTTAACCTGAAGAGTAATACAATTCACTTTTATTCTTCAGAGTAAAACAGCTTGCTCACATTTCATCCTATAAAAGTATTTTCCACAATCAAATCATACATTCGTAGATCAAGAGCAGTCTGAACAGATTATTGGAGCATAGAAGACTAGAGAATGGATTTGTATCTCTAAAAAGCAAAGTTAAAGGAGACAAACATGACAACTTCATGACAAAGAAAAAAATGATATGTTACCTTAATTATGTAAGGTCAGAAATTACTGCAATAAATATTTCAACTCCATGGACAATTTCCTAGTGTGATCAAAAGATCAAAGTAATTCACTAGTTCAGAAGTCCATCCAGTATAGTGACCATCATTCTGAAAGGAAAAAGACATCTCTTTGAGGGAAACATAATGGAACAATACTCATTTTTAGGCTTGAGATCCACAGGAGAGAGGAATCAATCATTAGAGACAGCTATGCATTTTGGAAATCAAAGTACAGTTAAGCCACTTTCCTGCTGGGGGTGCAGGGGCAGGCCAGAATAAAAGGGAGCCTAAGATACCATGCAAAGAGTCCCTTTTGCTTTAGGTAAAGGCTAGCTATTTGCTCTTGTGACTCACCACCACTGCAAAGAAAAGCGCTGGATCCCTCACAGCTTTCCACCTTCTGTCCTGTTCTCCTCCGTGTTTGGCAGTACATACATAAGAAGGCACACGTGTACCTCTCTATTTTTATATATTTTTAAACTCTGTCATACTTACTCAGACCACTCCATAACAAACACATGGCCTTTCTACTAAAACTAACAGCAGTTCCCTGGGACTAAAACCTTGGAACTGTTTTCAAGTCATCCCTCTCATCGTTACCTTCCACTATCAGTCCACCACCACTTTTCCCCGAATGTCCAGCTGCTCTCTACCCCTTCGTTTTCACTCCTATCACACTGCTAAACCAAACTTCCTTGCCATACCCCATCTGTTTATAACAAGAGCCTCTAACTTGGCCCCTCTGCAGATCACAGCCTATCCACTCTCTTACACAAAAATTGTTTTCATCCTATTTCTGTAACCTTGAACAGGATTGGGCCCATCCCTTTGACTGTAAAATGAAGAACTGGTCTCAACGTTCTCCATCCTCACTGTGCTCTGAAGTCAGATGTCACTGGACATGAATCCTGATCCAGCCACTCTGCAAAACTTAGACAAGTATGTCTGCTCACAATTCAGTCTTACAATGCATAAAATGGGAACTAGTACATCTACTCCAAAGGCTGCTGTAAAATAATAATAGGATCTTATGCCTTACAGATCACACAGCAGGTACTGAACAATATTGGTTATTCCCATCCCACCTTACAGAATCCCACAAGCTTTGAAGTTCTCTGGTCTTATAACTTCCAAACTTAACATTTTCTTACATCTACATCTGTAGTCATAATGATTTTCTCTTCCATCACATATAAACTCCTCTGTTGACCTTCAGTTCTTCCATTATCTATCACTACTTTATCTTCCTCTAATTTCCAATAAATGCCTTCTATTCAATCAGATTAGTCTGATCATTTTCCCAAGAACACACACTTACACCCTGCCTTTGTGCCCATCAGTTCCCCATAGACTTTTCTTATCCCCTCTGTCAAGGCCCAGTTTGAATCCAAAGCCGCCCAATGGCGACCTTGCAAATAATTTAACCCTCACACACTGCCTTAACATTATTGTCTACTCTTTCATGTTTACCGAGATGAGCTGTCCAGCTGACAAAGACTATTCTGATTATTCCAAGTTAAGCTTTTTACTTCAATGTGGATTGTATTAGAGTTTTTACAAACTACATATTTTTTGGATCGGTTCTGTCAATGCTTTTTGAAATTCATAGGCCTTTGTGCCTTAAGGTAAGAGTCTTTTATTAATTCCATCATTTTTATTTAAGGCTCACACAAGGAGCTGGTTCCATTATCAATGGGTAGACCATTGGCAGACAATCTGACAGCTGTCTCATGAAGCCAGATAAGAGTTCTAAGTATGTCTAATGTCTGTCAGATTTTGTGACAAAGTGAACATGTTCTAATTTCAAGTACCATTTTAAGACCAAACTCTCAATGGCAGCAAGGATGATGCATGGTGGGGAAAGATGACTGGTCACTAGAGTTTTACCTGAAGATGATGGTTGAAGCTCCAGGGATAAATGAAGGTTCTAAGGGGAATCAGCAGAAGACACAGTGAAGGGTCAAGGGACATGGAAGAAGACACTGAGTGGTTACAGAGGAAGGAGAGTAACTACAAGGGTGGAGAGGCACACAAGCCCAAAGAGAGCTGAGTAACACATCAAATGCTGCAGATGAGGACAAAATGTCACTGGGTTTAACAATTAGGAAGGCATGACCCCTTAAGGCAATTTTCAAAATGGCAGATACAGGATGCTGACTCAGGGCATTGAGGAGAAACTAGGAGGAAGGCAAATGGAAACAAGCAGAGACTGCCTGCCAAGAACTTTGGCTCTCAAGCCAAAAGGTTTGTAGTGGTCATTTTCTAATCCTGAACTTAACAGCTCAACGAAATACCCAAGCTCACTCTTCTTCCCTGCCAAGAACTTTGGCTCTCAAGCCAAAAGGTTTGTAGTGGTCATTTTCTAACCCTGAACTTAACAGCTCAACGAAATACCCAAGCTCACTCTTCTTCCCTTGCTTCTCACCTGTCCATGTGCAGAGATAACTGACAGTTGACTGCAAACCCTTCCCGCCTTTTTTCTTCCAACACCACCTTCACATGCCTGGTTTTGGTTCCCTAAAAAATCTTACAGAACTATTCAACAGCTATATGTTATCAGGTCTCAAAAGCTAAGTTATATTCTTCTTCTGCTGTAGGTAAATGATAGTACTTAACATAAAAGGAAAGACACCAAAATGTGTCAAATCAACAGAACAGAAGTCCAGGTTCAGATCAAATACCATATTACTATCTTTGGGTAACCTATGTAATTTATGCTGAATTATTAAAAAATAGTTTTTCTTCCTTCAAAATAGTGTTTTGTTCTTTACTGTTTAGAAAAATCAAAGAAAAAAATAAAAATCATGAGGATAATTAGCACTTTGTTGAACCTCCTTGCACTTTGATATGTATGCATGATACATATAAACATAATACACAATGTGTAAGTGCATGTAAGTTTCTCTAAAAGTGAATCATATGGTATTACTGGTAACTTGTTTTTCCCACTTATTCTGATGGAAATTCTGTATCACTGAATAGTCTTGAATGCTTTCATTTTTAATGACTGCTCAATGATCCATTTTAATAAATTCCCTTGAAGTACTTAAGTCACCTCCAATTTTTGATTATATATTTAATGCTGAGAAAGATATCCTTCACTATACCATCAAGTATTTGCCTGGGATAAGGTCAAGGTCAAATGTATAGAAAATGTGAGAATCTGATATTGACAATTTGCCCTACACAATGTTTGACCCAGCGGCACATAACAATACTCTTCCACACCCCCTCTAACACTGGGTCATGTTATTTTTAAAATTGTATTCTATAGATTTAATTTTAAAATTTTGATAAGCATATCTTTGGGGTTGAACACTTTGTACCTTTTTACACTCTTGTTCATGTTCTCTATTTTTCTACTAGTGTGTTCATCTTATTGATCTGGAATACCTTTTCGTATATCCAGGATATTAATTTCATATATCCAGGATATTAATTATGGATGTATAGATTGATATATATTAATATGTAATGGATTTTTACATTTATATATTAATATTAATCTATATATCCTGGATAATGGAGAGAAAATAGTGTATATATTAAAACTTTTGCCTACAAGGAACAAAATCAACTCAAGCATATTAGAGCCAGAAAGGATCTTTATATAATGATACTGAGGGATCCTTCACATAGAAGGATACTAATATATAAGCTTTGTCATGTGTGTATTACAATTCGTTTCCCCAGTGTCTTTTATTTCTAAAATGGAAACATGACTACTTCACTAATCTATTTTGAAGATTCAAGAACATGCAAGTATTAAGTCATGAGTGGAATTAATCATCCTAAAAACAAAAACAAAATTGCTGCTACTTAGGACTTAATAAGGTCCCGTATTCTCTGTCCTTATGATGAACCTACTAGGCAGGCATTTCCATTCCTCTTTTACAGAGAAAATGTAACAGATATCCATAGACAGTAAAGTGATAGTTAGATTTTAATTTTTACAAATAAGCTCTGTATTGATCCTAAAAAAGACTTGGTAACAGAATTAATCCCAGCTGTGTTTGTAGTAAAATTTCCTCCTTAGAAGTAATTCCAGGGACTACTCCCATTTGTCTGCTAGCCACAAACCAAGTTACTAGGTTCTGCAGCAACCATTCTTTTAAGTTTCTCTAAATTATCTTCTTCCCCTTCCTCTAGGACATCTTTACTATTAAGTGTCATTCTGATAGCAAGAAAAATATTTTTGGCTAGGAGCCAAGGCTACATTATCAGTCACTACAAGTTTAACCTGATGGCAGATACTTTGCTAACATTATAAATACATTAAAGGGACTTCAGTGGCTTATACGTTAGTGACGTCTATAGTAACAGCATACATCTGAACCCACGCTTTTGTTAGGGGCAAAGCACACTGTGCTGTATAAATATTTTATGTATAGCCCGTACTGAAATTCTAGATTAAGAGGCATTCACAGAGCCTCTGTAATATGCTGGTTGCTCAAGACAGCATATTTTTATCACAATTGTGTGCAAGCTTTGCCATATTCTACAGAGATCTCCTTTATTTAATCATAGTTCCCCCACCCCCAAGTGTTTTTATTTTTTAAATGCATTGGTTGTGCTATGGGCAAGGCAGCATCTGAAATAATGGCAAAAGTAAGGTAGCTGATCATCGAACTGGTTCCGAGGGCAAAAGTGCACAGTGTGAGTGAGCCTGGTAGATGAGATTTTTGCAGGAATATTAACAGAGCTAGACTACCCATTGCCAGAAAAGGGAAAAGGAAATACTTTTATTAGTTCACTGAAGACTTACAGAAAATGCTTAGGAATTTGAAGGCTACTCTTATGGAATAACAGGTTTCCAAATGGGTTTTGGAAACAGACAATAACAACAATAAGAAATACCTCAAATTCTCCTGCTAATCTGGGGCAGGTACAGCCACATCCCCCCATACTCCCCTCCTCCCACAAACCCCCAGCAACTAGCCACGAGGAAGGGCAGCTGCCACCTCTACGTGGGGAACTGGCCAATAGGCGACTGTTGCTAGGTGACCACAGAGGAAGCAGTGTCTCTTGCACCACCTGGCGGCAGCCGGCATTTGAGCAGTTACCGACTCTGGGGCAGGGGGAGTTCTCAATGTTTTTCCTCTGAAATT